TATAATTAATGTCATGAGGCATTTCAAGTTGTTATTGTGCATCTTCCGTTACGATGTCATACAAATAGATGTAAGAGTGCACACCGGGGGAAAAAGTTAGCTTACTATATTAATTTTTTTGCCATCAAGTTAATTTATTATATTAATTAATTTTTATGAACACATGTTTTTAACCCATGATGTGTAGCTGAAATACATTTCATTGTATTTATCAAGATAAACTTATACATAATTCATATGCATTAAAATATAGGGTATTGGAATATTATATTTTGATAAGAAAAAGAAATATTTTATGATAATATTTTATTGATTTCTTAAAACATCACATGTAATATTTTATTGATTTGGCACAAAAAAGTATACCCTTAAAAGTTAACTTAATTTTGTGGTGAAGCTACATATTCACTCATAAAAATAATGAATATTACATTAAATTAACAATCGTGACATTTTTACTTAATTTAAAAGGATCCGTGTGTATTTTTGCACTCATGTTAAATTTATAGTATCAGGTGAGAATTTACAGATAATACATATTTACAAACAAGTGGATTACGCAAAGACCTACAGAAACATGTACGAGTTCAGGAAAAAAATTTCCGAAATATTGAATAGCTGTCGTTAAACCAAATAAAATACTTTATACTTTATCAAATGAGCCAAGTCACATAAAATAAACATAGATAGAAAGACAATTACTAGGTACAATAAGTAGAACAAAAAAACTGCAACAGTAGTTTCTCTCTCTCTCTCTCTCTAACCTCGCTTTTTATAGTAGATTTACACATTAGCCCTTCTTCTTAGTTGGTCAATGTCTTGAACCAAAGCGCCTCTGCCTTTGCTGAAATGAAGCTAAGGCCTCCACAAACTGATCCTTGTCAAAATCAGGCCAGAGGTGAGGATCAAAGAAGAGTTCAGCATAAGCAAGTTGCCACAACAAGAAGTTGCTCACTCTGAGTTCGCCACTGGTTCGGATCATTAGGTCCGGGTTTGGAAACTTGCTGCACCTGGTTTCAAGTTCTTGCTCCATCACACCTTCGTTAATGTCTTCTACTTCAATAGTGCCATCTTTGACCTTCCCAGCCACAGCTTTGCAGGCTTGCACGACGTCGTATTTGCCACTGTAGCTAATTGCCACGATAAGTTGCAGTCCACAGTTTTGCTTCGTTCTCTCCTCTGTGTTGTTTAGGACTCTTTGCAAAGAGTCTGGGAGTTTCGATTTGTCTCCTATTACTGATATTTTGACGTCTTTCCTGTAATAATAATTATATATATATGCACCAAAAGGGATTTCGTTTGGCTATTCAGAAAATAATGATATATTGATAATAATTTATAAAAATTAATTGATATTTTAAAATCAATTTTGTAGTTATAATTAAAAAGTTTGGCACCAACAAGTTGTTAGTTAAGATAACAATGGTTTTACCCATAAGAAGAAGGAGAATACAAATTCGAATCCCCAGAAGCATACTTGTTAATAGGGCTTTAACAACCCGATAATGATTAGTTTCAAGTTCAAAATTCGAATCTCCAGAAACATACGTATTGGGAGGACTTTAACAGCATGGTAAAAACTAGTTTCAAACTCAAAGTGGTGACCTGAAGTTATTCTAATTTAACCAAAAAGCCAAAAAAAGGTTGGCTATAAATTACTAGCGAGGGTGTTTAACACAGTGAAGTCGATCACCTACCTGTTGTAAGATTCAATTAAGTTGTTTATGGTACTTCCAAAGAGCGCCATCAAAAAATCAACCTCCACCTACATCATCACAATCTGACTCGTGTTAAATAATCCACTGCGGACCCCAGAAAATATAAAATAATACTAAATTATGTCTTCATAATATAGGCATAAATCAAATCAAATCATTTTATTTTAGCCCCACAAGGTCTCGTCACTTGACATCAAGCGTATCTGTTGAAATTTTTTTGACTATAAACATTTGAGATGGATGCGTGAGTCATGATAAGGAAAAAAATGAATTTGATCGGTGAATCAGGCGACTCTTGATGAGTTAGGCAGGTGAACACGTCAGCTCACATTACAATAAGATGAAAATTTTTCACCTTAGCTACCATTCTAGATGGGCTAAATGAGCACTAGTAGCTGACACTCATATTCCCAGCTCTAATACTAACAGTACGACTTACGTTTTTACCCTAAAACATGTATAATCAGACAATTACATATTAGGGACACGAGAGGGCCTAACGAATTCCTGATTGGAATTAGAGGATCTATTTTAATTGATTCTTTTATCATATTGTGATATTTTACGTCGTTGAATGGGACCATTTGAAAACAATGATCCGATAACAAAATTATCAAAGATCGGCATTCCTATGTTGAATAGAAATAAGAAGAATTACTATAAAATCTCAAGAAAAAAAACGTAGTTATTTAAAAATTCTAGAATAAATGAGATATCAATATCTTCATGTTGTTCCCTTTTTTTTTTTTTTTGATAATTACGTTTCTTTCTTAAAAAATAGTGAGTAAATCATTTCAGACTCAAAAACAACAACTTCATTCTTAGATTCTTACCTCTAGTCACAAAATGACAATTCAAAAACTTCATAAAAAGTTAATACTCCTTTGATCTTTAATATAATATCTATTTAACTAATTTGATTAGATTAAGGAAGTTAGATAAATTAGTTAATTATAAAAAATATGACATGTTTTCCTAAAACATCATAATTATCTTCTTTAATATCCTTCCTGTCTCTTCTACTTGATTATGGTTGACGGAGTATCCATAAGGATAATTTAAAAAAAATTAATAAATATAAAAAATAAATCTTATATTTACAATCAAAATTAATTTAAGTATAATGTCAAATCAAAGCTACCTCTCCTGAGAATAAATGCTCACCTTTGGACGAACCCAATTATCAACAGAAAACGCGAAAACGGTCAGAACCTTGATCCCCCAACTGCAACACAGATCGATGATCCTCTTCAGCGACTCTACGCCGGCCTTGTGACCCAACGAGGGTGGCAGCCCCCTCATTTTAGCCCACCTCCCGTTTCCGTCCATAATCACCGCCACGTGCTTCGGCATCAGATCAGGCCGCAGCTCCGACGGCAACGGCTCCGGCTGCTGCGAGGATCCCGAAACGACAGCCACATGTGGCGGAGGAAGAGCCGTCCTGGGAGTATGAAAACTGGGGAACAATGAAAGACGGAAGAATCGGTGTGTTTGGGAACGGTTGTAAGTAGGAGGAGGACTTGAGGTATGATGCCTGGGAATGGGAGTTAGAGCATTCTCCACCGGAATAGGAAGGCTGTGCAGGAACATGGCGTTCCTTCCTTGTTCGGAACCAGAGAGGTCCGTAAGATTTTGAGCTTCATTTAAAGAGGGAACCTTTTGGTTGCTTTTATAGTACTCATTTGGTGCTTAACGTAGGAGATAATTATTAAATTGATTTTGATCATAAATATAAAACATATTTATCATATTTATTAATTTTTTTAAAATTATCTATATGAATACTTTCTTAACTATAATTGGATAGAAGAGAAAGGAAAGATATTAAGGAAGATGATTATGGTATTTCAGGAAAAACATATTATATTTTTTATAATTAACTGATTTTTCTAACTTTTTTAATATAATCAAATTAGTTAAATAAGTCTTATATTAAGAACAGAAAGAATAGTATAAAACACAACCATCTAGAAGGCCGAATTTAGCTAAGCACTATCGCGTGGCTGAATATATATTTTTTTTAAGCAAAACGTGGCTGAATATTAATGCATAGTCTCTTTACATCTGGCAAATAGCCCTTTACAATGGTACCATGTAAGAAAAATAAAAAGTTGAATTAGAGGGACTCTTTAACTTGTAGTTATGGTAAAGATGACTTCCTCATTTTCTTTCCCTTCCTCAATCCTTCTTCAACGTCGTCGTCTTTTTCTTCATTGGACGATTTCAGATTTAGGTAAAGAAGAAGGAAGCCGATCATGGTGAAGAAATAGGAAGTTCGTTTAGGAGAGTATTTTTGTTTTTTATACTTTTTGTTATTTTAATAGTGTGTACGTATATATGTATAATAAATTAGATTGTTGTACTCTTAATTCTCATGTCAAACAAATTCATATAATCTCAATTACATTACATTCTCAGCCATTCCATTCCATTACCTTTTTAATGATTCCATGAACTAATTAAATGTATTCTTTCATGGTAATTTTTTAATAATTAATACTGACACAATGTAATTTTTAATTACGCATTTTGCTATTACTATGAATAAAATTATCTCATGGATACAAAGAAGATCGAGGGGTTACGAAAACTTGAAATGGATGAGAAGCTTAGTGATATTTATTCAAAAAATAATAATTCATATATGTAAAGCATTTATATATTTTTTGTGATATTTTTTTCTATGTTTTTCTTAAACTTGAAAGTGTGGCATATAAATTAATTCTAAATTTATGCACCAAGTCTAACTTGTCAATCAAACGGTGAGTCCCGGAGTCATTTCCCACACAATTTTCCTGACTCCAAGTGCTCGAAAATAAAGAAAATGAAAGCAAATAAAGATGAGAAGAAATTGAAGATCCATCCAACATTGGGATATAACTAATATTATAAGAGAATTGCCCAAAAAAAAAAACTAACACAAAAAATGAAGAAAAAATAATAGGGCAAACTTACTGCGAATCTGCTGGTTGCTAGAAATAAACATGTTACTAATTTATGTCAAGTACTACAAATCGACTAGGTATTGGAGACTGCAAAGCCATGTTTGGACCAAAATAAAATTAGAATAGGGACCACACACACACACACACATGTATATGTATAAAAGATTTTGTAAGACATTTGGTGCAATATTCAGTAATTAATTATGGATAGTGTTATCTGATACCTCGGTTTTTTTTATAATGCATAATGCCCTGATCTTTTTTTTTTTTTGGTGCATCTAGCACCATAAAGATTAGGGTGTTGATGTAACCTAAAAAATAAGAAAGAAAAAGAATGCTGAATACACTATAAAAAGATCAGGGTGCTGGATGCGGTTTTTAACCCGTTAATTATTTTCTTGCACCAAAGCGCCTATGTCTTTGCTGAAATGAAGCCAAGGCTTGCACAAACTGCTCCTTACCAAAATCAGGCCAGAGTTGAGGATCAAAAACAAGTTCTGTGTAAGCTAATTGCCACAATAAGAAATTGCTCACTCTGAGTTCGCCACTGGTTCGGATCATCAGGTCTGGATTTGGGAACTGTGTGCAGTTTGTTTCCAGTTCTTGTTCGATCAAGCTTTCATTAATGTCTTCTACTTTCACAACGCCATCTTTCATCTTCCCAGCTATAGCCTTGCAGGCTTGCACGACGTCGTATTTGCCACTGTAGTTAATTGCTATGATTAGTTGTAGTCTTGAGTTTTGCTTCGTCCTCTCCTCTGCGTTACTTATTATTCTTTGTAGAGAAGTTGGGAGCTTTGATTGGTCTCCTATCACTGATATTTTAATGCCTTCCCTATAAAATACCAAAAGGATTTGCTCATTTATTATTAGGAAAATGGCAGGGAGGTACAAAACTAGCGTTCAAATATGTAATGTAAATCCCAGGTAAATATATATATAAAATGTAAATCACAATTCAGAATTTTTAAAATGGTCTAATCACAATAAAGTCTCTTCAAGACTAGTTTGTGATTAAATTTTGTAGCAAACTTATCTAAATACTCCTAATTGAGGATTTGAAAAACCACAGTTTAATGAGTAATAACCTTGTGCTCCCCATACTTAATGCAAAACTTAATTAACTATTTTAAATAGATTAATAATGTTAATTAAATTAATTAGTATGATATGTTTTTTTAAAGCACCCTATGTATCTTCCTTAACTATCTTCATCTCCTATTTTATTATTGTTAAGAAAACATGTGAAATAGGCCTTACATATAAGACCAACATTAACTCCTCAATTAGATTTTATATCAAGGGCCGAAGAAGTAGTTTAGTAGCATATAAAGGCTCTTTTGAAACTGAAGTCGTGAGTTTGATTAAATTTATAATCTCAATTTGTTAATGTCAACCCCTTTAATTAAAAAATTTGTTAATGGGTCTTATATTTAGAATCGGAGAAGTAAGTAATAACTTATTAAATAATAACAACTCAGGCAGTTAGGTTATTTCGCCAAAAAAAAATAATTTTAAAATAAACCCTAAATTTTTTTATAGAAATAAGGGAGAAATCACTAGATAAGCCTTCATACATCTTTCTCCCAAAAAAAAATAATCAAAAGTTGTCATCAAGTTGGATATTTGCAGGACATAAATATGATTTTTCAAAATTAAATACTGAAATGAAGTACTTAAGGGGTGTTTAGATGGAATCAAAATCATAATTTTAAAAATATTTTCACATTATACAAAATAAATATGTAAATTAATTTGTCTCATTTTACAGAAAAATATTTTTAAATGTTTCGAAACACCTTCTTAGTAGGACATTTTAAACCGAGGAGTCAGCTCAGGCACCTTGCGAAAGTCTCAATTTCGGTGTTTACGGTTCTTTCGAGGAGCCTCAACAAAAAATCAACCTCCACCTGCCAATTAGAAAAAAAAAATGCCGTTCAATATATTTATAAATTTTATTTGAACTTATGGCTTCTATATTTATATAATTATATTTTGAGATGCTTTTATGACTTCAACAAATACCATTAGACGATGGTAAAATGGGTAAAATTATATGTTATACTTTTCAAAATTATAAGTAGTGGAAAATTTTACATTCTTGTTCATTCTTAAATGTCCTAGTCTGCCAAAAAAAAAAAGAGAAAAGGAATAGATCTTCAATTATTTCTTTAAAAAATAAATCAATATTAAATCCAGATTAAATAATAAACAATAAATCTGCACTTATGAAATTACTTGCTTATAATAATTCATGACATAAAATTTTATTACAAAAGATCAATATCTGTAATGTGAATATTAAGAATGAGTGTCTGTAACAAAACAAAAAAATATTAAGAATGAGTCTCTTTTCATCAATAAAAAAATTTAATGATAAACATAATTTAAAAATTAATAAATTATATTTTATTTGTTAAATATAATACAGCCAAAAGAGAACAAACATATGACATTTATTATATTTCTATTCTATTATTATTACTCAGCAATAATTATATATCCCTATCATATTTTAGTTTTTTTTTTACTAGCATCCCTATCATCTTTTAGTGCAGGATACAAATAATACTCCTCCGATCCTTAATATAGGACCCAATTCTTGAGTTGATTTTGGTCTTAAATATAAGACCCATTTTTCATATTTATCAATTTTCTCTAAATTACCCCTATAAATACTTTCTCAACCATAATCAAGTAGAAGAGGGAAATTAGGTGTTAAGAAAGATGATTATGGTGTTTTAGGAAAAATGTGTCACTTTTCTTATAATTAACTAACTTACCTAACTTCCTTAATCTAATCAAATTAGTTAAATGAGTCTTATATTAAGGAACGGAGGAGTAACTTTTATATGAAAAGTCACTTCCTTTTGGTTTTCTATCCGTAGACACGAGAGACCTGCAATGGTGTGTGAAAATTGATGGTCTACCTCGGTATGGTATGCCCGGGAATGTGGATCCACCACCCGCCTGCTGGAGTCCATTCAATGCAATAGTGTGTAATTATCTTATTTATAAATTATTTCTAATACATTGGATACAGATTAAGAAAAAGTTTAAATTTTATTAATTCTCATTTAAAATTCAACAACTTTCTAATTTTATCATTATTTAAAATTTTTTTTTATATATATGTCTCATATAAATAAAGTCAGTAACTATAAATAGAACAAAAAATATCTTTTCTCATGAAAAAATAATTAATAATATTTTTCCCATCCTATACCTAATAAGTACAATGAGAAAAATAAGTAAAAAAATGTATAGGATGGCTTATTGTTGTATAATAATATGATCAATTCAGAGTAATGCCACAACATTACAGCATAAAAGGAAAAAAACATATAATATTTATTATATTTTTATCATTATTACTCAGCAATAATAAAATAATTTTTCATATTTTTATTTCCAAGATACATATACTAATTTTAACATGAAAACTGAAAAGTCACTTTTTTTTTTTTACATTTATATCTTTTTTGGCCTTTTCATTTCATTTTCATTTAATTTAATGTACTCCTAGACATAATTTTTATAAATTGCGTAAATCCTAAAAGAAAATAATTATAGTGTGATTTTAATCTTAATTCATTTTATTTCTTGTATTTATTTAATAAAATGATATATAATGTAATGTCACATATATAATAATATTTTTTAAAAATCACGTCTGTGTAATTTCTTTAGTTTACCTACGGTTTGGGGTGTGACCCAAACGGTGACTTCTTTAGTTTACCAATGGACGCTTACCTTGGGGCGTTTCCAATTATCAGCAGAAAATGCGAAAACGGTCAGAACCTCAATCCCCCAACTGCCACACAGATCGATAATCCTCTTCAGCGACTCTACGCCGGCCTCGTGACCAGCCGACGGTGGCAAACCCCGCATCTTGGCCCACCTCCCGTTTCCGTCCATTATGACCGCCACGTGCTTCGGCATCAGATCCTGCCGCAGCTCCGGCGGCAACGGCTCCGGCTGCAGCGAAGATCCCGACACGACAGCCACATTCGGCGAAGGAAGTGCCATCCTGCAACTCCTGGAATCGGGAAAGAGCGAACGACGGACGAATCGGTGTGTTTGGGGACGGGCATAGGTGGGAGCACGAGGCTTATTAGGAAGCGAGGTTACAGTATTCTCCACCGGAATCGGAAGGCTGTGCAGGAACATGGCATTCATGTCTGGAATATGACAGTGTTTGGCGCAGCGGGGGACACAGAGACTTGGGGGACTTCGATTTATATAAAGAAAATTAGAGGTGCAACAAATTACTCCTCCTAGAAATCACTCCTAACATGTTTTACACATACCAAATAAAACCTTAAATTTCATTAATTTTTATTTAAAATTTAATTTTTTAATTTTAACTTTATTTAATGTATATTAATTTCAAGTAAACAAAGTCAACATAATAATAAATGGAGGGTAAAATTATACATCCATATAAAAAATTTCTCTAAATATCTTGTAAATAAGAAAAATATCTTTTCTTTCTATCCTATAAATAAGACATGAGCAATAGGTACAAGTCACAAACTATCATCAGAAGGGCAGAATTTTTGAGGTAGGAGAGCACGTGGCGGTAAGAGGGGAGGCCATGCATAATCTTTAACCTGCGTTAAAAATTCAATTCAAGTTGTTAAGCAGTAAATCGGTAAATCAGTTTGCTTCAGTCAAACATTTTGGAAAAATCAGCATAATTGAATTATATATAAATCGGCAGTATATATTTTTTTCCCTTGACTATGTATGAAATGAGATTGTTTTGTGTGAAAACAGTAAGTTAGATTTGTGGTTTAGTTATAGTATGTGATTTTCCATTTAGTATGGATTAATGTCTTTTTTATTTAACTAATTACTTTTTTCAAAATTATATATATGGGTATTTTTATGTATCTTAATTACATTACACTATTTCCAGTCCTTAATATATAAAAGTGATAGTTGTGCAGTTAGATTTGATTTTAAATATAAGATTTCAATTCAATTTATTTCTCTTTTTTTTTCAAAAATATTCTTATTAATTATAAAATGCTGCCACAATAGTTTGAGGAATTTAACGCACATTATGACAAATATGCAACTTAATTAATTTTTTTAATCTCTTCAAATTAATTATTTAGTTCTTATATTAAAGATAAAAAATAATATCATATTAATTATGAAGATTGAGAGCACAAAGTTTTAGAGCAGCGGGAGGGAAGTACAGAAGAAGCTAGGGTGCGGATTGAGTTGGGACAATTTTTTTTTTTTAAATATCAGAGGATCCTTCTCGTCTATTTTACTAAAAACAAAACAGACGAGAATATTAGCCCATTCTCATTTGTTTTCTTAAACAGTCATTAATGTGCGAAGTAAATGGCCTACTTTGTTGTAGTGTTAATACATAATTAAAAATACATTGCACATGGTTAAAAATGAGTTGCACATGTTTAAATTCATATCTTTTAGCTGATAAAATTTATAGGTACTTTTAATGAATCTAGATTCTAGGGGACCAAATTCTCATATTATACATGGGGACTGACTAGGGGTGGGGATCATGGATCACCTCAGCCGCGTTCGAACCCCTTTGCCTAAAAGGAACGTCACTGTATGGGTAACTAATTTGAAGAGGAGACTGATTATATTATAGGTTAATTAAAGAAATTATCGCTGAAAATTAAAACTAATTAAACCAAATCAAGAATGTTATATCTGAGGCTAATTTAGGAGATAAACTATGAGTTAGGAAGTACCCATTTAAAATGGCTTATAGAAAGCTTTTTAATTGTAATTTAAAGAATACAATATAAGTATGTGAGAAAAGCTTTATTTTAGAACGTGTTTGAGTAA